ATTTGTATTCGTGATTCTAACTGTTTTTTGTTCTCACATTCGCTTTCCGTCTGCGTCTGGCGACGACCCGAGAAACCAGAGTCGAAAATTTACTCAATAAGGCTTCTTATCCCATAGAACCTATCTCATTTCAACATCTACTACTCGGAGTTCCCATCGTCTAATTCTTACGAATAACGACCAACAGCTTGGGCATACCGGCGTCCGCACAGCCGCAACTGTCCATGAGGCCACTTGAACTGACCGCCCCCTGCAACCACAACCTAAGCCACTGAGACACCACTCCTCGGCATATAAAACACGCCGATTGGAGACCACTTGAGTTTGGGCCACGAGTCTACAAAAGCGGCTTCCACCACTGTTCCAAGGATTCTCAGGCATGACTGGACGCAGTCAACACCAGCCCTGGCTTCTCCAGTGGCCACTGTCGCCTGAGGGGACAACTCCCGGTTCTGTATACATTAAATTCCTTATTCTGGCTCATTCTGTCTTTCCCTCTACGATAAGATCTGACCTGACGATGGTAGCGCGCAGACTACACGCATTCTCACCGCTGTGCCGCTACACAAAACAAAAGACACTCGGATTGTTTGATTTTTGATAACTGATGACTCCCAGTGCAGGACTCTCTACGGCTAGACATGATATCAACTTTCTGATTTCATTTCATTTGTAACGTATCACTACACGTTTGATAAAAAAATTTTCTGTACACTTTATAAATGACCATATTATATGCTGACTGAGCATAGTTGCATTTATAATCTTGACTGTACATGAACAGAGTAATCAAGGGCTCAGCCTATAAACCTTCGACACATACATGCGTTTTGAAATCGGGACCTCTTCGTTTATTATTTAATAGCTTTATGTGAACCTGGGTAATCATCACTCCTCTTTACTTGGGGTCTAGGAATTCGCAAACAGGACCTCCGGGGAAGGTTTCACGGGTCTTTCCGAACAATGATGATTAGAGGCTCATCATTTATGATAATACATTTTCTGTGGCCTTCGAAAATTCGCCGAAAAACAGACACTCTCTAGATCATACGGAAGCAGGCATCTTTGGCCGCGCTGTATAACGCCTTATTTTCCGCATATTCTGAAGAAGGAAGCATCTTCATACACACTATACACACCAGTATCACCTTTTTACTTCACAGTTAGAATTCCGACTACCTCAAAGTTAGCCATAAGGTTTAATTTAACAGCAGGAGTGTTTACCTGACTGAGACAAGCGAGCGAGTGGCATGCCTCCGTTTACCTCTTTTCCCTTATACGTGTGGTGTCCTGTGGATACTCGGAGTACATTTTTTCGTTTTCGCACCGGTAGATCATTGCGATAAGTCAAAGCTAACATGCCGCAATGCGCCCTTAAACTAGAGTACTCTTGAATTGAGTTACTCACTTCATGTTATACCAAGAGCAAACGAACATTTCGGAAATAATGCACAGCATTAATAAAAGTGTTGACCAGGCACGTACAGCAAACTTATAATCTCCGCATTAGCAGAAAATTACGATGTAAAGAGTTCACGCCGGTGAGCTGGGGCGGAATATAAAAGTCGCCTGGGTATTGTCGATTTAATTCTCTTAGTCTGATTGCCCTTTAGATCCTTTAGCTGATGGCAACGACAAAGGCCTTTCAGCTACACAAGAAACACATCGACGATAGAATAGAATGGGCTTATTATGGAATCTCTTGTGCATTGTCGTTCCCCTGAATTTCCCCGACCTAATCAACGCGTATCAGGGACTACGCCAGGTACACACAGAAATTGACCTCCAAAATAATGCCACTTACATCCTGTGAGTGCTATTTTCACAGTGCCATTTTTCAGAATCAAATATGCAACCTCCTATTACACACCAACGTGCCAAAAATAGTTTTCCAAGGGCCTTGTTCAGCATTATAAACATAAATTAAATTAAACTATAGAGACATATGTACGTACAAGATCCAATTCACCAGTTTTCAAGCAGAATATAAATACGAAACTCGGATAAAGTGACAAAGAAAATAAAGAAATAAAAATAAGCATAATTTTGCCCCCGGGGCATAATTCGGATATATTTTTGGTCAAAACCATTTTTCATATCTGTGATGACTGATCTCATAGCCTTCACAGAGCCCTATTTATCACTGACACTAATTGTGAGCAGTATACTTAACTCCTGAATGCAGTTGGGATTCAATAATTTTTGAGACACTTTCCAATGTGAAGAATATGTTAAGTACGAAGGTATCCGTGTTTAAATCGTCGATACTTTTGAGGTCCTCAAGGAGCCTTCTGTGTTAAAAAAAGATGTTGAGTCATTCTGGTATGCTGCGTCTAGTCAGTTAGGACGAATTAACAAACGCCTTTGCTTGGGACTGAACTTCTGAAGAAATCTCCACATTAGGAACAAGCCATGGAAGCCGTGCATGTGAGCAACATTGAAGGTGCGACCGAAGAAAAGTTGCTTCAGGGAGACGGAAATTTTGTTTGTTGGCATTTATGAGGAGTTCGGTTGAGAGCACGCTCAGCATTGTTCAGCGAGCAGTTTAGCTGTATTACTGTGCCTCTGTAAAGTTTTCTCTAAATTGTTCAAGCATATTAATAAAGACCGCAGTTTGATCTACTTAGGCGTCTTAAGCGTTTTTACTTTCAAGTCAGTAGGTCAAACGCCTGGCATGAAATTTGTGGATACTTCAAACTAAGGCAGCATTTGGTCGTGATATTCTTGGGCTAGATCAAAATATCTCCGAACACAAGTGCTCAGTGAATGATGCCGTACACGGCCATTTTATTCGAATCTGAAGAGGTGCTATTGTATACAAATCTATTCCGCAGTTAGTAATAAACTGTGAGTGTTGCCAAACAATGGAACGTTGGGCCTGAATAGCGAAAAATCAAATTAAAGTAAAATTGACAAGTAAGTTGTCAACGGAACTCGTTGCGAATAAGATAGTGTGCAACAGAAGTTAGATTTAACTTTGATGGTGAATAAGCAGGGACCAATTAGGGCAATCCGGCAAGCCGTGGTAATATTTGAAATGTGATCGACATATTGTGCAAAAGTTACGTTGGGCAAGATGTCAGCAAGCTGAATTTCGTGTGAGCCTTAACTGTTGATCGCCTTCAAATAACTTATCATTCCGAGCCACCGTAAGGTTTGCTGTAATCCTTTCAGTTAACTTCAACTTACTTTTTATGGGTAGTAGGCAAATCCTCTGAAAACTACTTTCTGTGAGCTGTATATGCGCTCTGAGGAACTGCTGACATCGGGACTGTACTCAACCGATTGAAGTAACATTGCTTTCGAATAAAATGTGTGCGTGTAGTTGTCATGGTCTTTAGTCCAGGTTCAGTTTATCGAGGGAAAACAAGGGACACAAACTAGATCATACATGTGCTGCTTGAGAGTGGCAGAGACACCGCCTCTAAACTAGTTCGGGGAGATCATTTAATCGTCCTTTTACCCGTTGTGCAATGAATTCGGAGCAAAGACTCAGCTTGGACATATACGTGCGTATCTTCATTGAGAGTTGACGGAAATGACACGAAAAGTGTCACTGAAACATGAGAAAGTTAAGGCCGGAAAGCTTCCTCTCAGTCACGGAATCAAACGGCCGACTTATCGAATTTCAGTTGCCCTTCTTTCTGGCCGGAGTTTATTAAACAGTCCTTAGCAAATCCTCTTCATTGTATCGCGGGAACAAGGGTCTCATCAACCTATCAACTCATGACCCCAAGATTAGGGGGCAACAGAAGGTGGACGGGATCACGGACCTTTAGACTATGATATATGCCTGCATGATCTCCCACCCTACATATCGGCCTAAATCGAATGTTTGGATCTCACATTCCTTTTTTCGGCTGAAAAAGCGTCGAAAGCAGGCATAATGTCTACCATCCACTCTTTGATTAAGGTGAATAGAACGGACTGATTCAGTGGACTACCTGGAGGGCCTCATATGCTGTTGAATTTATACGCCTTGCCTCTATATATTCAGATCCCGTTCTCATAAAGATGAGGAGGAGACTGTGGAGCACATGTAAATGCTGTTGTCAGGACACAATGATAAATGTACTCTAACGCGAAATGATCAATAGCATGAATAGGGGGGTAGGAAAATGAAGAGAAGACGTCTACGACTTGTGCAACTGCTTTTTGGGAGGCCATTTGATGTGGGGAGTATCCCGTCTCCAGTCCCACCGATCGGCTCCATCCAGGCTACCTGCTGGCCACACCGGATCAAATTGGGATTCTCCTGGCGAGTTACATACTGTGGAGAAAATTTTCCGAATCTCTGTGGGGCGTTTTAATGCAGTAAGGTATAAGCTATATTTAAGCATGTTTCGCTCTGTGCAGTAAAGGTGGTGGGAAAAGGATGAATTACTTAGAAAGGCATCTTTAAAAGTCGAGTGCATGACAGTCATTGCATGGCGTTGGTGAAGCGTTGTGTGCAGTTGGGCCTCCCACTGACAGGTTTGCAACGTCCGAGTAGGAAGGCAGAGTAGGCAGATCTTCATCATCTACAGAGTGCGCCTGAGACAGAAAAGAGTGGAATTTATTTAAGGTACTTTGTCAGAAATAAAAAATAAAAAAGTGTCATAAATATGCAGCTAACTGATATCACCCAAGTAAGATTTTCGAAGTTGGTCAACGAAAATGGTGGCCAGAGTACCCCGAAGACGAAACCGTGGAACAGGGCATCTGCTCAGTGAAAGAGTTGCTGTGCTTTAGCCTGAGCTTAGAGACTTTCGCCGGAGCCTTAACCAAAATATGCGGGAGGTCTGGATTGGAAATTCTAGGCTGAATAACAGTGCTAAACCAGTGAAGTAAGAAGAAAAGGAGCAAAGCTCATGTTAATTGTCAAATCCCTGTAGAAGCAAATGGTCATTTATGTCCTAGGATGAACAGTCCCAGGTAAATGTCCGATAAGTGAACGCATTCCGTCCGTAGGATTACTATCTCCGATGACCAAAAGATCGGTGTCCGCAGCCCTTCTTGGTATGTGTTTGCGTCATCCTCTCTCTCTCTCCGGCTTACGTAAGCAAGATTTTGCTTGCTTGAACTGTGTCTAAACCTCGTCTGCCGGCACCACACCGAAAACACTTTCCTGAAACCACAAAAGAACGTCTTCCGCAACTTATCGAATCCCGGGGAGAGAAGTCGTTGTATTTAACATCCAACAGTTTTTTGCAACCCAGTCGCTGTGGGCGCTCTAAAGCCACGAGAAGAAAACGATGATTTTGTTTAGGGCCCCAGAAATATATTAGCGCATTTCGAAATTACTGACTGGGTTCCATCTCGAACGTTTGCGTTTACGGTTAGACTATATTTTGCTATTTGTCTTCAGCTCATGTACTCAGATGAAAACGTGTGCCCTTACTGAATCAAGTGGTCAAGGGGCAGTCAGTAAGTTGACTTTTTCTTATTAGTTGCCGTGGTTTTTTAGTTATAAGGCCCGTTTGATTAAATATCTCTTATGAATCGGGCTTGTACATAAATAATATACAGTGGGTATAAATTTTGCAAAACATGACGGTCGCGCAGAAAGAGTACACGGGTACTCATTCCCAAAACTCTCTTTGTGGACTTAAACTTGTGGTTTTCTGTGAGTGTGACTCGGAAACTGCTAGTAAGCGAATGACACCAACCCTCAAAAGGTCTTACAAGCTCCACCTGACTAACTGAGGCTTACCAGAGATAACAGTGAAGGAACTTTCGCAGGGAATTTAGAGGTGTATCTTCAAAGTACCTTCTGCACTTGCAGTTTTCTCCCAGCATGTGGTTTTTCTCGTCACAAGCTGTCATCGAAATTTCGGATTTTCTCCGCCTCACCATCGTGAACTTCACGGAATGCGACGTTCTTCTGAATCAACCTAGCTGGCAAATAGCCCGTGTTTCGTGGCGCACGCAGTCTAAACTGTGTCCGCCTCATTTGCTGCCCACTCTCACCAGGTTTCCATTCCGGCTTCCGGGGTGTCGTGACCTCGTCCCAGTGCCTGTCTCAACAGCTTTACCTGCTTTTCATAACATCTTTTCCAAATTTTATTATACAGTTGACTGCTCATTCAGAGTTTAGGTTCGACATTTTTTTGTATTTTGCCATCTAAATCAGCGTTAATTTTGACATGATCGTGGGCTCCCGGCGCTTAACAATTAAATTATTGCCGAAGTCCAAATCGGCGAACGTACGTTTTCGATTATTCTTCATCAGGCCAGTATGCTTGCGACAGCGCAGGCAGTGGCCATACAACTAACGAATCCAGCTTTGTGCTCGCAGAAGGCCTTTATTAAAGCCCTCCTACTATCCTGGTCAAAGCTGAGTCATGAAAGTTTAGACCCGCACCATGGCACATCGCGCCACAGCGACGAAACAAAAGCACAAATCAAAAAGACTATTCCACCTCTTCCCCTCCCTCTCTCCCTCCTTCCCGCACCACTGACAGGAGCCAGACTATAATTATCCCGCTGCCCCACAAGTCTGAACAATTTTAACCCAAGTTATGACTGTTGTTTATAAGTTGTTTTACTTCTCAAATTTCGCTGCCTTACCTAGACTTATATTAATGTACTGACCTGATGAAGACTAATCGAAAAGGTACGTTCGTCGACTTGAACTTCCTCAATGTGTAAATGGGCATCATAACAGAAAATAAATTATTATTATTGTCATTCTTATTATTATTATTATTATTATTATTGTACTGTCTGGGCTGCCGTCCGCCCCAAACGATGACATCTATCGTGTGCCCTGCGGAGCGAGCGCCGTAAAGGCGACCTGCACGGGCATTAGTTTACACTTCCGCGGACTTCCGCTACACTTCCCTCATCATCCCCTCCCTCACGCGTCTGACTCCTATGACGAGATAATGTCAGTAGCCGTACTCGTAGCCCCTAACTTGATCTTATACGGACAAAAGTACGAACAGTTTCTGGGATGGCAGGAGGTAACGACAAGGGCATCTGTCCAACAAATGACATGAGCAATAAAACGCCACTTCGTGAAGACGTCCTCAACCTGTAACGCCTAAGCTGCAGCAATCAAAAACTCTGGGCACTTTAACGGAATACCCATTTGTGATAGATCAGCCAGCTTTGGTAATATGGAAGCCTATGACGGAAAGGGCAAGGCTCTAACCACCTGAGCTGCAAGGCCACGACTTTGGGCCTTGAGGTTCTTGCATTCGGCCTAACATTCCTGCCAAAGTTGGGGCAACTTACGAAGTCCACCAACTCTGCTGCAATGGGCTAGCTAAGTAGAAAACCACTGTATATTTTCGGCAGGATAACGAGCCCGTAGCTCAGCAGTTAGACGCGATGAACTTCTAACGAACAGGTCGCGAGATCGAGTCCCAGGAGTTCCGCGCTTCGGGGTTGGACATAGCTGGCTGACGACCGCTAATAAGCCAGAAGTGGCCATTCCAGTCTCCCTTGTCTTTATCGTCAATGCCATTCTGTCTATATCATGCGCCACTGTGTGGCTGCTGGCTGGGCTCGAGAGAGTGCCCTCAGGTTCAACGAGACGAGTGATTTCCTTAAAAACGACCGGTGAGCGCCCCTCCGCCAATCAGTCTGACATCCACGAGAGTACCAGCTAAGTTGGACTATTGCGTGTACCGACCGATTTGCCCTCTTTAACTATCCAATTTTTAAAGCGGAATTCATTGAAAATTGCATTGCAATTAATTAGAGCTTTGATTTATGAAAAGGTAAACCTCCAGGGTCCTTTCTGTCAGATCCCGCGCTTCGGAAATTGCATCTGACCTCCCTTCACTTTTTTTACTTCAGCAATCATCGAAGGGAATAAACTATTCTTCCCTTAGTCCTGACATGCTAAACTTCTTGAAATGGAAAGACGTCTGATTGTGAAAGTAATTCTTACCCTTCCATGGTTCAAATCTCCCTCTCTCTCTGTTGGTAACTGGTGACACCCTTTGCAGCATATCATAACGGCCAGGACGCCAAAGCCCATCCCGAAGAACATTCCAACAGTGCACAGTGTATATCCAGTGTACAGGAGGGCGCTGAAAGATGAATGAAAGTAACGCAGTAGGGGAGAACGCGTAAATTCCACCTAGTGTTAACCAGCTAGACATTGCTGATGATTTTCTACAAATGTCTGCATGGCGTTAGTAATATTTGTACCGAGGATGACCGTTTCCCTTTGGCAGCTCAGTGTTTCTCACTAACACACCAACTGGTGCATTAGTAAGACAGTTGTTTTGTAGAAGGCTCTACCCCGGGCGTATGTGGAAAAGCCGCCTTTTTCACGCGTACCTGTGGTGGTCTACTTCGCAACCAATCAGCACTCCAATAACTCTCTCAAGGCCGTCTGTCACTCGGGGCATCTGCTCTCGCGACGCCTTCATTCAGCTGCCAAATCGCTCGAGACAATAACGCAGTCATTCTGAACAAAATGGGATCCTCTTTCTGCCGGTGTCTTACTTCATCCATCTCTATTCGGGAGTAGGCCGCAAGGTCGTAGTGGCTGCGGTCTGCATATGGTTTTGAATGCCGGAACAATTCTAACGCCTGGTCAGAAGAATGAATTCTGAAATTGGAACAGAGCAGTCAAGTAACACTTATGTTCCTTTTCGTTGTTTTGGACTAGTCTTGACACCAGATCCAGGTGGGGAGAGGGGAGGAGAGAGTGCAGTAGATGCTGTGCAAGTCCACTATCACTACAGACTAATTAACGCACAAGTTACCATCCCTGCTCCTACGCTGCCGTCGAGCACACGGTAGACATCGTCGGAAACGACGGTCAAACCGTCGGACTAGTTCGAAATATAAAAAGTTTTCTGACTCTTAAACTTCGCATCTTACAACAGTCCCCTATACCCCATCGATGAATGATTAGCCCGCGTTAGGTAAGTCTTTGCGGGTTTCCTCGGGTATGATTTTGGCACTGCTGGTGTTTCAGGCAACTATCAGGCCTCCATTGCAAGAGGAAATTTCAGAGGCAAAGTTGGAGAGCGGGATGCTAGTTCCTCATGACTGTGACTTGTTGAAATGCAGTGAAGCATAAAAATACCTGGCTCACACTTAAGCAGGGCTTCGGGCAGCTACATGAATTCACCGCAGTAAAGAGTCGTCAGAAAAAAAGCATGCAGTTACATTTTCTCGGTGGGTCGTTGCAATTACACAGACATCAGAGGATTCTACCGTCTGATCTGCCAAGTTAGCAGTAAGCCCTCTACACTGAGTGACTCTGTTCGCGATGTAAACGGCGGCTTTATTGCTGACAGCTCGCCCAAAGTCGAACGCTGGCGTGAGCACTTTGAGCACCATCTCAACTTCGATACCCAACCTACATCGCCCTTGTTCTCCTCCTCAGCGGAGTTTCTTCCCACTTCTACCTTTGCAGTGCCATGCGATCCCCTCTCCGAAGAAGAAGTCACCGATTCCATACGAAAGTTGCGCAACAATAAGGCACCCGGAGAGGACGGTATACCCACTAAAATCTTCAAGTCTTGTGTCGACACTCTGGCGCCATGGCTCCATGAGGTGATTGAACGAGCGTGGAGAGGCGAGGTTGTTCCTGACGACTGGGGCTTAGGCATCCTTGTACGATTTCGTGCTGGACGTGGATGCGCAGACCAGATATTCACACTGAGGCGCATTCTCGAATTTCGCCATAGCTACCAACAACCGACGGCCGTCTACTTCATTGACTTTGCCGCCGCGTTCGATTCCGTTCACCGTGAGTCCCTGTGGCGGATAATAGCGCTAGATGGTGTACCGGCAAAACACATCGCCATGACCAAGGCCTAATATCGCTCGATTACTGCTAGAGTCCTGGTCCGCAACAATCTTTCCCAACCGTTCGGTATTCGGTCTGGCGTCCGACAGGGTTGTATCCTGTCACCCATACTGTTCAATTACGCTATTGACTGGATCCTCGGGAGGGCCCTACGCGACAGTGACGGTGTTGAATTTGCACCCGGACATCGACTGACTTATCTCGACTATGCCGATGATATCGCCTTACTTGATTCAAGTTTTGGTGATCTGCAGTCTTTGGTGTCACGGGTAAACGAGGTCGCTAAATCGGTCGCTTTGTGCATAAACGCTGGGAAGACCAAAGTGTTCTCAAGCTGCTTCCCTGACCAGGAGAAGGCGCCCCTCGGAATTGATGGCTGTCAACTTGAAGAAGTAGACAGTTTTAAATACCTTGGGCGAGGTTGCTGCCTAATGGACAGAGTAAGGAAGACATTGTCTCCCGAATCGATGCTGCCCGCTGGGTTTTTTCAAGCCTTCGGAAATGCCTGTGGAACCGACGCGACATCTCCATCGCCACTAAGATTCGCGTGTACCGTGCATCTGTCCGGTCTGTCCTTCTCTACGGTTGCGAATGCCGGGCTTTGCGCGTGGAGGACGAGCGAAAACTGGAGGTATTTGACTACCACTGCTTGAGGACCATCCTTCGAGTGAAGTTAACCGACTTCGTCTCAAATGAGACAGTCTGCGCTCGCTGCGACAACATCGCAAGGATAACTCAGGCCATTCAAGAAAGACGACTGAGGCGGTGCGGGGATGTTCTTAATCGTCCACCTCAGGAGCTCAGTGTTACTGCCCTCGATCCGGCACCGTTGCCCCATTGGAGGCGTCGAAGAGGGGGTCAGTTCAAAACCTGGCTCGACACTGTCCGTCAAGACATGGAGGTGGTTCCTGGAACTTTGGTATTCGGTCTCCGTCGTTGGCGAAGGGAATGGGTTGAGCTGTCCAGATCTGCTGCCGCGGATCGTCACGCGTGGATAGGTACAGTTCGGGACATCATCGAGGCCGGCTAGATCAGGCATGATCGCAGCCGTATCAAGTACAAGTACATCAGAGGATTATAAAACTAGTTAGCGAGCATATGTTTGCTTTCGATAAATTCTCGTCGGGTCAGGGCATCTATATTGGTACGGGGTCAAGTCAAACACGTCAGCGACTACAGACATCGACTAAAGTTTACCTTAATAAACAGACAGAGTGTGGGAATATGGAGGGGGAGTGGTGGTATTAAGAGTAGACTGAAGGCAGCATCACTCATGATCTGCCCAGCGCATATGAGAATATTTATCTGATCGAAAGACCCGGTATATGTTGAATGCAATTTTTAAATATCCCACCGACGACTTCTTCCCAGATCATTTCATTTTCATAAAGTTTGTGCAAAAATTGTCATACGACTAGATTTAAAGTCTCCCTACCTTCATGTCCAAGTACCGTCTGACATGTCCGACTAGCAGATCGATAATTTTCTCAAAATACACGCAGTTTCTGACTCTTCTCCTTCACGTTCAAAAAAATATTGCTTATAAACACCATAATAATATCTCCTTCCTTCATCTTCAAGAGTTCCATGTGCTTTTCACTCTCGAGTGATGCCTTAGGAACGGTTTCTGAGCAATTCACGATTTTATGCTTTTAGAATTTTTCACCAGCTCCGGCAGGTACTTCTGGTGTTAACCAAACCCCGTGTAATTTGGTGCATCGCGAGCAGGTTTGCGCAACCTCTCTGCCGCCCTGTTAACAGTCCCCGAACGTTGAAATGCCTGCATTCTGTCCACCACAGGCTATTACTGGCTCGGATCAGGTCAGTCATAAAAACGGCCTGTTCTTGCGCGCAGGAAGAAGCGATAGTTACGAACGTAAGGACCACTATTGAGGACAAAGTCATCACAGGGTATCAGAAAGGCTGCGTAAACCTCCTAACATCGTATAACGATGTGCAGTAACTGCCGCAAGAATACTAAATTCATAAAAAGTCCTGAATAGCTCAAAGACCGTTTTAAGATTGCTCGGATGCTTACAAGGATAATCTCAGAAGTCCCTTTTATAATTACTCTGAATGAATTAGTAATCCCTCTTATGGGACTGAATAAATGCCCTACTTCTGTCGCAAGAGAGTACGTGTCGCTAAGCCGAGAGGATACTGATGTAACTGAAACTTAGACCACGACAATTGACGCCTTATTCAGTCAGACAGCACCACCAATTGCGTTGGCTATGCCGAGTGTAAAGTCTATGCTTGATCGAGGCACGTCGGGAAGCGCGGGCAATGGTGTATTGCTGATCTCGATGTCATAGTACATCACAAGTCACTCCCAAGTACTCGATGATCTCGGGACTCCTCCTCCCCCCTCGCCAAACGCCAACGCGAGGATCAGCGTTCAGTCGACTTTCCTACGAAGCTATCGTGTTGGGGTTCTCGACAATCTGGGCAGTGTAGGCGCAGATCACATACCCTGCGACAAAATCGGATATGGTTTTACCGCCGAAAATTTCATTCCAGCGTTTTTACATCCGTCCCTAATTCTATGGTCTGAGCAGTCACAAGCTTGTAGCGACTCAAATCTTGGATTTACTTTGAGTGTCACCATCCCCATGCTACTGTGCACGGAACCCACATCTACCCTTCCTGGTGGCGCTGGCCCCACCAGGGCGTGTGCTAAAGATGTTAGATCATACCGGAGAGCTGCAGAGACTGTGATTGAAGTCCGGTGAGTGACTGCAGACCAGCGCGTTTGGGAAAATATAAAGTGCTAGAGGGAAGCTCACCGATCGCGTTACGGGATTCACTTGTCCCATTGTGCCTTGGGGCCTTTCCAGCCTCCCTTGTCTTTGTCGGTAATGCTATTCAAGTATTATTTGGGCCCCGAAGTAAATAATGCTACCGGTGCAGAGATGACGATCCGTCAACAGCAAGCAAGGAGTAGAGTCACTCGGCATCTGTAGTACATTGCGCAGAGGCCAGCAAGCGCATGCAGTAAACTGGATGGACAAGAGATAAAGGGTGTGCGTGTATAAACGGCAGAGGACGCTGATGGTGCCCCCAAAACGAGCTGTGTGGTAGATGCGCTTGACTAACACGAGGGCCATATCAGATTCTGGTAGGAGTTAACGGATTTTCGCACCATAACGAGTGTCAACATTTCGGGATTCAGTGGCAGCGCCGGAGGAGGTCGCGTGCATTGGGATCCCTGCGGCCCTCCCCATTTTTGCTGTTGGTTAGAATTCTGGTCATCTGCTGTGTGAGCCAAGGGGTGTGAAGTAGAGCGCCAACGTGCGGGCTTGGTCGTGCCATCCATCTGCGTCCCCCCCCCCACCCCGACTCCGGTCTTCTTGATTTTGTCTTGACACCGGGCCCAGGTGGGGGAGGAGTGGGAGTGAGATAGATACATCGAAAGCACAGTAGGTGGACTAACTCATGAAATGTCAACCGAAATTCTGAAATGCGTTTCCCATTCGAAAAGATTAACTAAGTAGGGTTGTAAAACTAGTCAGCCTGAAACATAACTCTGTAATGATCCAGTTACGTCAGGAAGTCGGCTTTCGAATGAACGTCTTTTCGGCTGCATGCAAAAACTACACTTTGTAAAAATATGACTACTCAAGTAGCATGCATTTTCTCACTGATTTTCGGTGCGCTTAAAAGTTAAAGTATATTTCAAGGAAAGCATTCATAGAAATATTCATTCTCTTGCTCCTTCGATAGAAAAGTACGTTTTATTCCAAATTTATACTCGAGGAAAGGATATAATTTGGTTTTAAAAAGTTTCTCATCGTGAAATGTTTTAATAACGTGAAATGGCCGTCAATAAAACGTCATGTCTATTCATTTATCAATATGTCATGTAAAGTTAACAATACGGCTCAACTTCACTGTTGAATTTTTTGAACCCCATATAGTCTCCTCCTAATACCTTAAAGAAATATATGGTTTTCCGTATGCAGAAATTATAGTCTCCTCTTAACACCTTAGAGAAATGTATGGTTTTCCGTACGCAAAAAATACGACTTGTATTTTGGAAACCCTAAATACAAGTGTAACGGCAGGTCAGGTTCAACCCTATTCGGGAATTGGAAGGCTTTTTGAAAACCGAATTATACCCTTCCTTCGAGTATGGAATTGGAGGAAGACGTAAGCTTCTACCGAATGAGAAAAACAGTGAATATTTTTATGCGTGCTTTTCATGAAATATAATTGAATGCTTAAGGACATCGAAAGTCAATGAGAAAAGTGCATGCTTCATAAGTAGTCGTTTTTTTACAGATTGTAGTTTTTGCATGCAGCCGAAAGGGGTTTGTCCAAACGCCGGCATTCTGAGGTAACCAAATTTTTGTAGAATTATGCTGCCTGATAATTAGCGTTACAACCCTACCTACTTAATCTTTTCGAAATGAAAACGCATTTCGGAATTTCGGTTGATATTTCATGAGTTGTATACTACCACTATAAACTAATCCACGCATAAGTCACCGTACCCGTTCTCACTTTGCCGGGGAGCACATGTTGGACATCGGCGGCAACGACGGCCTAACTGTCGGAGGCGGCTGATTCAGCCAGTAAACCACAGGAATGCCTGCGTTCGCGCCACGAGCGATTTTCGCGCAGCAGCACACGCGCAAGAGGGCACCTGAGGTGGATTTCTGTTCTCAGTTAGTGGGAGAGCGAAACTCGAGACTGCGGATCACGTGCTTGTTGAGGTTTATGCACAGGTGTGTTTGTCACGCTGAGGAAACCGTAAGATGTTTATGAGGCCTGGGTGTGTCTGACACGCGTGCATTTTGTGAAAGGGCCGCTGAAGTCGCTTTCAGCAGCTGATCCTGGCTGAATCCTGAAGCGTAAACTTCCGAGCTTAGTTTTCAGATCATGAGCGTCGCTGGGAGAATGGTACGTTTTCCAAGGATCCAGACAAACCGCTCCGTATGACTGAGAATGACGTTGAAGTAAACATTCGTTCGCTTCCGACGTTCTGTTCCTAGTACAAGTACCCTCGAAGATAAACCGCAATCCGGGACCCTTAGCTGTCCCACTAACCAGCATCTACACCCGCCATCGTATGTGACAATCGAGATCCGCGTGAAATCCCCAAATAGAGAAACGTATGACCTATTGAGAGTATCTCTAAGGCAATGCTTTGAGATTCTTAATCCCCCAAATGGGCTACGTGGTAGATGCGCTAAACTAACATGGGGGCATATCGGATCCTGACAGGTGTTATCGGAATGCGCAACATATCAAATGACAACATCTCGGGGTGCGGTTGCAGATCCAGTTGCCGACAGACGTGGCGCATATTGGGACCCCTGCGGCCCTCCCCATTTTTGCTCTTGGTTAAAATCCTGGTCATTTGCTGCGTGGCCCAGAGGGTGTGGAGTGGGACGCCAAGGTGCGAGCTCGGCTGTGCCATCCACCTGCGCCCTCTCCCGCCTCCGGTCTTCTTGACTCTGTCTTGACACCGGGTCCAGGTGGGGAAGAATGAGAGAGCGCGGTAGGTGCTGTGCAAGTCGACCGCCATTATAAACTAATCCATGCCCAAGTCGCCGCCCCTACCCTCACCCTGACGGGGAGCACACGGTTGACATCGTCGGCAACGACGGTCGAACCATCGCTTAGAGATTCTATCCAGTAGAATTAGGCCGTCGGCTCTATTGTGGTAATTTTTAAAAAGTCCCCTCTTAAAGACAGAAAACTACTTCCCGATAACCGAGGACAGATAACACTTTGTCCTGTCCCCACATGCATTCAAAAAGTGGAGGGGGTGAAACGGCCTGTGGTACATTTCCCGTTACCAGCTGAGGTTGAATGTCATCAGTCAGGTGCCGCCACGGTTCTTAATTCGAACAGAAAATCAGTCACTTAGAAGATCTCGTGGAAAAAAGCCGCATGTGAAATTGTAGTGAAGAAACCACTGCATCACTTTGAGACTATTTTAACTCTTGTGGGTTACTTCCGATGCGTCGTTTTTCATTTGGAACCTTCATAAACTAAGGGTTGTTGCGCCTCCTAGGCAAATGACAATTTTTGGAAAGAAGCGCTCGAAAGTATTGCTGAAAAAAAACTTATAAATTTAAAATGGTCCCCTTCTTCCTAGCAAAAAATCCACCTAGTATCTGTTCAAAATCTTCAGAAATTTAAGGACAACCGGGTTATTTACTTGATTAATGTTAGATTCTTCGTGCAGATGCATACTCACTTCTTCCTGCTAAGTTCGCTGAGGCAGTCGGTTGTTGTGTCCGATGAACTCTGGCGCGGGAAAGGTCGTACTGGGGTCGTGCAGTTTGTTTCTATATTCGATGCGTCATGGAGGAATTTGCTGCCAATACTGACGCAGACGACACATATTAACAAAAAGGCTATGGAAACCAGCTGACAGGCGAAGTACTTTCCATTTGGCCATGGTTTTGCATTTGCTGGCCAGCCTTCATTGCACTGAAACAAGTCTCTGGTCATTGTTGTTTGTGCTTCATGATAAAAAGAAAGGAGGTTGGATAAAGTGTCTGCTTTTACAAGACGGCTGGAAGATTCCTCTGAAAAAACGAAGTCATTGCGACTTAGTGATGTATACATATACACTTTTCATTTTCGTCTGACGACGGGTTGGTGTAACCGACTTGAAAATTAACGAGTATACCTCGATTTTCCGACGAGCCTTCTCCTTTTAATATATACATACGTATACATATATATACATATATGTTACTAACTAGAAGCCCATAGACATGTTTCGCCGACATTCCGTCGCTTCATGACACAGCTGCGAGGGATTCGGCTCTTCGATGGGTCACCCAGCGTTCCCTATGCGGTTTATGGTATACGAACTTCAGAGAAGAATCAAGCGAATAATGTCAGAAATTATTCAGTGCAGGACACGGATTTATATATATATATATATATATATATATATAATGGTCGGAGGCGCTCACCGATCGTTCATACGGAACTCACTCGCCCCGTTATACCTTACGGGCTCTCTGTAGAGCCCAACCAGCAGCCGCACAGCGGCGCATGATATAGGCAGAATGCCATTACCGACAAATACAAGGGAGACTGAAATGGCCATTTCTGGCTTATTAGCTGTCGTCAGCCAGCCATACTCAACCCCGAAGTGTGGAACACACGCGGCTCGAACTCGCGACCTGTTAGTTAGAAGCCCACGCCTCTAACCACTGGGCGAAGAGCCCGTTGCGCTGTCGGTTTTCGATCGGGAATATAGAATGGTAGGGGGCGCTCACCGATCGTTCATACGGAACTCCCTGACTGACTGACGACGGCTAATAAGCCATAAATAGCCATTCTAGTCTCCCTTGTCTTTGTCGGTAATACAACAGCGGACTTAAGAGGGTCATACGGAGACAGCTCGACAGCCAGTTCACTCGATGAATAAGAAGAAGTATCGCCCGACCGACCACCCGACACTGGTTCAATCACCTCCCCCCGACGAGGCGGTGACTCACAAGGCTCGCAGACAAAACGCCCGTCGATCACCCCTCGAGAGGCCAAGGCAGCGAGAGAAGAGAAAAATCGATCAGCACGAGGCCGACCAACGTGATACGCCATATGGGATTTCTGGTCGATTAAGTGCATTTTACGCTTTGACAATGGAGAGCCGACCAAGCTCTTCGAAACGTCAGCATTTAAATAAACGTGTTCTGGAGAGCCTATCTTCTTCTTCTTCTTCTTCTTGAAACTTCGCCTATCTCAGCAGAACTCTCTCTCAGCATCAAAATTGACAACAGGGTCGGGTGGTCGGTTGGGCGACACTTGTTCTTATTCATCGAGTGAACTGGCTGTCGAGCTGTCTCCGTATGACCTTCTTAAGTCCGCTGTTGTATTACCGACAAAGACAAGGGAGACTAGAATGGCTATTTATGGCTTATTAGCCGTCGTCAGTCAGTCAGGGAGTTCCGTATGAACGATCGGTGAGCGCCCCCTACCATTTTATATTCCTGATCGAAAACTGACAGGGCAACGGGCTCGTGGCCCAGTGGGTAGAGGCGTGGACTTCTAACTAACAGGTCGCGAGTTCGAGCCTCGGGTGTTCCATACTTCGGGGTTGAGTATGGCTGGCTGACGACAGCTATTAAGCCAGAAATGTCCACTTCAGTCTTCCTTGTCTTTTTCGGTAATAACATACTTCATATATGTTTCTATATATATTGCTAATATCTATTTCTAATATACGCGAAGATGCGAGCCCCCGGAAATAAATGAGAAGCGGCGATCTCGGGAATCCGTCTTAATATTACTGTCACCCACTTTTAAACACCGTGAGACGCTATACCACACTCACCTCAAACGATGATAACTCGTTTGCTTTTGAAACGTCAGGACTATACAACTGTGGTCCCGAGACTTTCTGTTCTTCTCACATAAATATACATATATCTCTACCTGTTGGTTCACAGTCCAAAGCCGCTCTAATTTATCCACATCCGCCGGTACTGCCTATGATCTGATTGGCTGCCCAGTGCTGGCAACCACCCACCAGGTAGCCGTCACAATGTAAACAATGTCATGAATAACAGCAACAGATATTGATATATCAGCTGTTTTAGGTTTACTCAGTGTCTCCTCGTGTTATTCACAGGATTGATCGGCAATTTTGACTGGACACTAAGTCTATACTCATACCCGGGCAGATTGCATAACCGACCAGCATTTTGTTGGCTGTAGTTGGTCGTCGGGTCTGCGGATGCGCCTCCACGACCCCCCCCCCAACACCAGTGAACAATATTCGCTTGATAAATATCCGTGGTAGTATTCAAGAGCAATCCAGAAAACAGACTGGCCAGTGTAAATGCACTAGAGGCATCACAGTATTACGCTATTGTCGGTCCGTCTGCCAAGTTTTACGCTTCAGTCATATGCGTCATGTGTGCTCATTCGTCATCGCTGTCGGTCGGTGGACTTACAGAATGCGGACATTGCATATGACCCAAACAGCTGTTGTCCCAGTACACGTTGTCTGATCTACTTTGTCCAACACCTCACTCCTGAGAGAAGTATTGTTTTTCCGTCTGACTCTGATCAGGAAATGGATCTACCTCAGTATGGTGCAGTTTTCTGTGCATGTGGTTTGGAATTTCAATGCTCTGATCGATGACCAGCTGACTGAGGAATCAGAGCCCCATCTCAGACGTGGAGAACAACGAAATAAAGCCTCCTCCTAATCATTAGTCTCTACGGGAGGGTTGCAGACATTAGGCTTCCACTCCATTTTGTGGTACGTGCAGTGTGTCTGTCAGTAGTCGGATGGAAGTGATTGCCAAGTTGCATGTATCACAAACTGATGCGGTATGGGGGCCTAACGTCTGCAACACTTTCACAGACGTTTGGTGATTGGGAGCGGGGTTTATTTTATTGCCCTCCACGCCGTATGCGCTATACCACCATCCGAAAGGAGGCTTCGAATCTTCGGCCACTTGCTTATCCATCAAGCTTTGGACCTCCCAAACATAGGCCCAGTAAATTGAGCCATCATTAAATAATTATAGTTCCTTAAGGATTGTGAGCATTTTTTTGAGGATTTTGAGTGTCTCATATGCCATGATCAGTAAACCATAGTCCTCGCAGTTCGATGTGCGCCGGCAGTTCTCTGGCATCTGGTTCCCTGACGGCAGACGCGTTTGCGCTCCCACTGGGTATACAGGTCGTGCGAATAGTCGCCCAGTCGAAAAGAAGAAGAAGAAGAAGAAGAAGAAGAAGAAGAAGAAGAAGGAGAAAAAGCGGTGACTGGAACAGGGGCTTTATTCGCCTGATGTTTTGGACTCTCACTCGAAATCATCGCCAGAGACAGTGGCAGAAAAGGATTCCGGTGAGAATCCAAAACGTCGGGCGAATAAAGCCCTTGTTCCAGCGATCGCTTCTTCTTCTGATCAACAGGTGTCTTTGCACAAATCACAGGGGGACTAGGGTCAGGGTTAGAGTAAGTGTTAAGAGCCGCGAGTTGCTCGAGTCGTGGTTCACTGGACCTCAGTCTCTAAGCAAGTGCAACGACATCCCCATTCCATATTCCGTGCTGAGGCATAGGCTGGTCAAATAATTGACCACTCGTGGGGGGGGGGTGCAAGCCGGTGAGTCAGATGGCCGAGCAATCATCACGCCAGCAGCGATTAACAACTTGCCTGTCGGCCATCAAGCAGTTAGTGCACCAGCGGGCAACAGTCCTCTATGAGGGGGATCCCGGTTAATTACTCTAGGTATACGGTAGCATAACGACTACATCCTATAAATACTGCCACTTCCTGTGCACGAGTCACCCGTTTCGGCCACTGTCTCTGAGGATGATTTCAAGTGAGAGCCCAAAACGTCAGGCGAATAACGCCCCTGTTCCAGCGACCGCTTCTTCTTCTTCTTGCATCCTGGAACTCGCATCTACGCTTGTATCGGCAAGCTGCCCAGTAATACTCGTCTTTCTGCCTCGCTGTCGTTGTTGTTGTTGTTGGTCAAATACCTAGTCAAGTATTAATTATGGACCAGGAGGTGTGGATTGGAGCGCCAAGGTGCGAACTCGGCTGCGTCCTCCACCTGCGTCCTCCCTGCCTCCAGTCTTCCTGACACCCTCTAGTCTCCGGGCCCAGGTGGGGAGGAGGAGTAGGAGGTGGGTGTGCGGCAAATGCTGCGCAAGTCTGCTCTTAATTTAACCTTATTCACATGCAAGTCACCGTGTCTGATTCACCTTGGTGTGGAGCACACGGTGGACATCATCGGATGCGACGGCCGAACTATGAAATACAGAAAATGTTAATTATGCAGGCATTTCTTCTGATTGGTTACTTCCAAATACGTTCGTGCAATTTCCTATCACATCGAAGTAAGGTATATGCCAGTATCTGACTCCCTTGCCTTATTAGCGAGGCGATATATGCCTGTTATTGTTTTCACTTGATAGCCAGATTCCCCTTCAGCTTGAAACGCTATCGCTGTCTACTGGATGGTGGGATTCACCATCACCAAATTCCTCTTCAATCCCCATGCAGATGTCGCAATGACTAACTGTCAGTCTGTCGGATATTGTGGCTGATATTGACAGTCTCTGGGTGCCCTAGTGAGGAAGTAGATTGGTCGTTTTTAGCCTCAGATGAGCGCATCTTCAGTCCATACTGGAATGTTCTGAAAAATTGAGCAGAAGTGACTGTGCGATCGTCGTTTGCGACTATATCCACAGGATGGGCGCAGGACTGTGACTTGTGTGTAAATTAGTTTACAGAACTAGCAGACCTGCGCTGCGCCTATCGCACTTTCTCTCCCTCCCTCCCCATCTCAGCCCGGTTTTTTAGGACGGAGTCCGCAGGGCCGGAGGCGGGATGGAGCACAGTGCCTGACAGAGCTAAACACAGCTTATCCGAGCGAGAGCAATCAGTTCCAGAGAGAGAGAAGTGTGGTTACTTCAAAAATGAATCTTCCGCGCTTTCAACTTTATAAGTCCCTTCGCATGTCCAACTCGTTGCCCATGAACCATAAGCAAATCAGGTGTCTGGTATTGTTGTAAATGCTAATGCATACCCTTAGGCATGTCTACCAACAGGAATAAATTGGAATGTTTGCTATTCTGAAACCAAGCCCACTCTGTAGTCATTGCTTCATAAGTAGAGAAGGCAGAGGCCTAAAACGTGGCCCCATCTAGTCATTTCCTAGTCAACTGCCTACGAATTTCTATTAATATCGACTCCAGTAGGTAAGTTTCTGCTTTGTGTCAGGGTTAGAATTAAGGTAAGTGTTTTATGTTAGTATTTGGGGGTAAGGGTTAGGGTTAACGGGATGTCCGATTTGAATGAGTTTTATTCTGGCCGCATTCCCAAACCACAGTCAGTAGCAATGTCTGCATGAGTAGTAGGAATTTGTTTGCTGAATTTCCGTGCACCTTCTAATTCAGACATATTTTGTAAAAATCATGCATATAGCATTCTTTCCTGTACTCCTGCTGTAGAAAATTACGTCATCTTTGAAGTTTATATTTGAAGAACGGGCATATTTTAGTTTTAAAAGGCTCTTACTTATGAGATCTTTCAAGGCCATGAAACGGTCATTTATATAGCACACGTTTAGGGGTGTTACTTATGAGGTATGCAGCGTAGTTCACATTCATTGCGGAGAGTTGTGAGCGCTATGTGACATCTTCTTAAATGTGATTTTCCTTATACGAAAAGGAGTCAGCACAGAGGTTTCAAACCCTAAGCGTAAGCGATGCTGCAGGTTCGGTTCAAAAGTATCCGGGAATTGAAAAGGTTTTTTGAAACCAAAATGCACACCAACCTCTCATATATAACGTGAAGTGGACGCAATTTACTACTAAATGCGTACGATTGCGGATATCTTTGCGTATGTCTTCTATAAAATATGTTTAAATTTGTAAGAACATTTAAAATTAATTGGAAAAATTCGCGCCACATAAGTAGTCATTTATCGTCGAGTGTGGTTTTTGCAGGCGGCAGAGAAAAAGTTCCTTTAAAAGATGGCATCGTTGCGTGACTGAAGTATTTTTAGACTGTCCCACGCGATGACCAGTATCAAAACCCGAGCTAAGTTATCTATCCTTATCAAAGCACTCTTCAGGATTTAAGTTTAACGCTTCACAAGCTAGGCAAGCTACTGCAATTGTCCTTATTGAGTGCGCCTTTCTTTGCGTTTATCATGACCTTGAAGACAGTTAAGTTTGATCAAATGTCGTAGCGTAGAAAACAACAGGTTTTTGCGGGATTTCTTCTTCACGCCTTGTTGCGATTCCCAGTCCTGTAGTGATTAACCCATTCTCCAGAAGGTACTGAAGAGGTCTTCTAGAAGCAGAAAACTTCGCTCAACAACTGTCAAAATATACGGACTACAGAGGAAACCTTTGAACGCTGTAATAAACCAGGTCACGTGTTACGATAAAAACCGATGTCATTTAGCTCCACACTGAATTCCGAGACGTTAGATACATAGCAAGCGGGCTCTTTCGGTGCGCATATACTACAAGACGAAAACTCCGAAAATGCACAGTGTTCCTTAAGTCGTTAACTGCGTACGTATAATTAAGATGCTCGTAAAATCACATGATAAAACATTTGCGTGCCCAATTTTCCGGCGTCTCTTGTGTCACTGTACTTTTAACAACATACCAAGGCCCCGAAAGAGGAGATGTTGCTCAATCGGGAAATGAGAGCAATTTATTCTTTCGGCAGAACCATCGACATTCATTGCATCTTATAATATGTTCCTCGCGCATGTTCCTACTACCGTGCATTGACCTGATAACAAACTAAAAAGAAATTATGCTTTTTAAGATATGTTTATCAACTACAAAAGAGCAGCTGAAAACGGTCTTTAATTCATTAGCAGTCTCTTGCGATAAAATGCTGCTGGAATCATTAGACGCCAGGGAGATTACGCACAATAGGCTCGATGAGATAAGACAGGAAATAAGAACCGATGCACTGCCTAGAGGCCTCGATAACTGTATGAGAGACGGGACGGATTCTGCGCTTGTCGGTCGCCGTGTCGACTGTAAGGAACTTGAAAAGCGGGTCCAGACGCTAGAAGAGAAGCAAGGCCTACTGACGGACATCATCATGGCTATTCTTAAGCACAGTAAGATAGAATTACCAAATAATCCGCCAAATTTCCGATCGATCGGCGACGAACATCCTACTAATAAAGGCGCTAGCGCGGAAAAGTCAAAGCCAGTCAGGAAGAGGAAGCGAGTTATGTCTCCAGAGGAAACTCTAGACAAATCAGTTCCGGTGGATAACGTGGCAGTCGACACTAATGCATTAAAAATAAGTCAGGTTCCATTACCTGCTATAGTAACTAAACCTGCCAAATCATCGAACACTAAAGTTGGGAAAGCCAGGGTGACCCTCAGAAGATCTGTTAGAAACTACAAGGACTCACCGTTATTCTTGGAAGGCAATGCTGTTACTCCACTTCTTCACAAGGCTAACTCATCTGGAAAGTGCCCTAACCAATCCGTTTATGGAAAAGGACACGATAAGCCTTCGTGCAGTACATTGCAACAGGGTAATGATTGTAAGAGCTCCACTGCCGGAGCAAGTACGTCACATGAAAATCCATGCCCTAAACTCCCTTCACCGGCCGAAAATCATTCAAATGTCGAAGTGACAACAGCCGTCGGGAATACTGCAGTAGCATTATATCGTCCTAGCGCGAACGGGACAGTAATGAGCTCTTCCATAAATCGTAAGCAAAATATTGTCATAAGGGGCGCCCCAGAGTCCACGTCCTGCATTCCGAAGGAACGAGTGACGCACGACCTAGACCTTCTTCATCAGTACGCCAGTGTCGTCCTGCAGGATGGGGAAATATTCACCGTTAAAAAAGCTTTCCGACTAGGCAGAGCGGACCCAAATCGTGACCTAAAAACATCCCCTAGACCCCTGAAAGTTATTTTGGAAAACGAAGCCCAATCAACTCTTTTGTTAGAAAGTAGAACGACCTTATGCAATTCACACAAGGAAGTGTTTTTTCAACCAGACTACGAACAGAGGGAAAGACTGAAAATGAGAGAACTGAGATCAGAATTGAAGGAGAGAAAGGGCTGAAGATCAAAAATGGACAAATAGTCCAGACAAAGGGGTCTTTCCTGTGGTCAGAACCCGTCACAATGAAGGCCGGGCCTCTCCAACGAATCAGTCATTGAAGGTTTTATCCGTAAATGTGAAAAGCCTGTTCAACAAACTAGATGAACTAAGAGACTTAGTTGATGAAATCAAGCCAGACATTATGGCATTCACAGAAACGTGGCTTACTGAAGATATCGCAGATTCAGAAATATCACTTAGAGGATATCAGCAATTCAGGAGAGATAGACTAAGCCGAGGAGGAGGAGTCATAATTTATGCCACTTGCAAGCTAAGCGCTATGGCTGATGTGCACAGACCGGTACGCGATGTGGAACTACTAAGCGTTACCATATCTACTAAGAATGTCCGATCATTGACGCTTTCGGTAGTGTACCGTTCACCTAACCATACTTCTGACCAAGATCTCATGCTCATATCCGAACTTTACCAAGCTAGCGAGAAGAAAGACGTCCTTATCGTTGGGGATTTTAACGCTCCTGGCATTGATTGGCTAACGTGGACTGCACAAGGGCCGCAAGACAGTTTTAATCACAAACTACTACAATGGGCAACGGACAAACTTCTCTGCTAGAATGTTACCTTTGGAACACGGGTCAGGGAAGGGCAGCAGTCGAACTGCCTTGATCTTATTTTTACCCGAGAGGAGGAAAACGTGTTAGACCTGCAGGCCCGACAGCCATTAGGGTCAAGCGACCACATCACGCTCTTCTTCGAGTACTCACTGTTTTCCAAACCCGTCCAACCCGAGAGGTGGGAGAGAAACATTTGGAAAGGGGACTATTCTCTCATGAGGAGGGAAGCGGCAGCTATATCATGGGAGACTGAACTGCATGGTCGAGCAAACGATAACTGGAATACCTTCAGTTCCTTACTGAAAGAGATTGTTTATTCCAGTTGTCCTCTTAGAAGAAAGAAAATCACAAACCGCCCAAAATGGCTAAACCCGGACTTGAAGGCCTCTTTCAGAAAAAGGAATCGTCTGTGGAGGCGTTACAGACTAACTGGCTCCGACGAACACTTACAGGAATTTAAGCGGCAACGAAACGTCTGTAAAAGTGAGGCCTCAAAGCTGCGAGAGAAGTTTGAGCTAAACATACTCCGAAATTCGTTGGAGCATCCGAAAATTCTATATGGTTATATACGAAGTACTAAAAGGACTCAGGAGCTCATCCCTGCCCTCAGGTCTGCAGATGGAAAAGTGGAGATTGATGACCAGGTTAAAGCGTCCCTCCTTTCCGACTTCTTTCAGTCCGTCTTCACCCGAGAACCTAGTGCTATATTTGCCCATCCATCCATTCGCCAACCAACCTCTCCTCCCAGTACCCTTCCCCATCCTATCCCTTCCCTATCCTCCTTAACCGTGGAACCACTCTTTTCATCTACCATAGTTAGGGCCGAGCTACTGCGGCTGAAACCTGCCAAATCGCCTGGCCCAGATAGAATTCCCGCTCTAGCACTTCGCGAACTTGCTAATGAACTGTGCAAACCCTTATCCGCAATATTTCAAAAGTCATTTGAAGACGGCGAGCTCCCGGAAGAATGGAAGTGCGCACTGATTACTCCGATCCATAAAGGAGGCTCAAGACTTGACTGCGGAAATTATCGTCCTGTCAGTCTTACTTGTATCGCGTGTAAAATAATGGAACGCATTATCAAAAGACACTTGATGAAATACCTGGAACAGAACAAAATATTGTGTGATGCCCAACATGGCTTTCGTCCAGGGCGCTCCTGCCTAACGAGTGTTCTTTACTCACACGAGAAATGGACACGAGCTACCGATAAGGGTTTTCCAGTAGATGTCATATTTTTTGACTTCAAGAAGGCCTTTGACAGTGTCCCACACAGGCTTCTTTTGCAAAAGGTTTGGGATGTAGGGATTCAAGGGAGAATGGTTAAGTGGATCAGGAGTTTTCTGTCCTCCAGACTACAAAGAGTCGTCGTTAGTAATTCTACCTCGGAATGGGTAAAGGTGGAAAGTGGTGTCCCACAGGGTTCTGTCTTAGGCCCAGTACTCTTCCTGATTTATGTTAATGACTGCATCAGCGAAGTGAATTGCGAGGCTCTCATGTTCGCGGATGACATAAAAATATGGAGTGAAGTCAAGTGTGATGATGACGCAGAGAAGTTGCAGTCGAACATAAACAAACTGTTTGCTTGGTCGAACAGATGGCTTTTGAAGTTTAACGTGTCCAAATGCGTGGTCTTGCACCTGAACACCGGCCGCAATGCCTCTCCCAAACACCAGTACTATATTGACGGGACGAGGTTAGAAACTGCGGAAAGACACAGAGATCTGGGTGTATGGACTACCACAAATCTATCGCCATCAGAACACTGTAGAAAGATGGTCCAGAAGGCAACTAGTACTCTACACTGGATCAGACGCGCATTTAAAATATTTCCTCCCGAACTCTTCGAAAGACTCTTTGGTGTCTTTGTAAGACCTCATCTAGAGTATGGAATGCCAGCAGCTTCACAATGGATGAGAAAGGATATCAACTTACTCGAACAGGTGCAACGCAGAGCGACAAAGATGGTCGACGGTCTAAAGCATTTGTCTTATCAGGAGAGGCTGAATTTGCTTGGCCTATTCCCTCTCTCTTATAGACAAATAAACTGCAGTCTACTCTGGACGTTCCGGGTTGTTCGCGGCCAGGGTTGCTCATTAAGGGCAGAGGACTTCTTTGAGTTCGCCAGTACAAACCAACTACGCGGTCATGCATACAAAGTCGGGAATGAGCGCACGCGTTTAGACCGACGAAAATTTTCATTCAGCCAGCGGGTTGTCAGGCCGTGGAACTCGCTTCCAAGCGAGATGGTGACGGCTGACACAGTTTGTGTGTTTAAAAGAAAACTTGCTCGTCTAGTTTTCGACAGAAATCGGCTTGTACAGCATGACTATGCACAGCCAGTTTTGTAAGATCTGTTATATACAATCTTCCGCACTAATTTACAGTGACCCCATGCACTACCTTATGATTACGATTGAACTGTGACCCAATCACATTTTACATGCCTGCAATTTTATTTTATTTTTGAGTATGAATCTGCGAAAGCACTGTACATAAATAGGGTCATCAAGGGCTCTGTCTGTAACCCTTCAATATACATATACATAAGAGACTTCGGCAGTGGCCTAAAACGCGGCCACATATAGTTATTTCGAAGTCAGTTGCCTACGAATTTCGTATTAATATTGACTCCAGTATGTGGTTGTTAGGGCTAAGGTGAGGATTTGGAATTACGGTTAGGGGGGTAAGGTTTAGTGTTAAGGTTAGTATTTAGGAGTTAGGGTTGGGGTTTTGAGTTAAGGTTTATTATTAGGATTTAGAGTTGAGGTTTAAGGTTATTAGTTAGGGTAAGGGTTTAGGATTACTGTTTAGGGTTAAGGCCTAAGGTTCTCCGGTGTACCAGACGGGGCCGCACTTTAGGCCCCTGCCATTCAGAACGATCATCACCTTCCCAATTTAGTGAAAGAGTTATCGTTCGTCTGAATGTATGCTCGGTTTCGTCGTCAAGGGGTTGGGGGACGTTCCCCAATTCGTTAAACTGTCCTATCAGGAACGTCGATCAGCCGCCGGTTTGCTCTCATTTATTGTGTCCCTCGAGGGCGTCGTGGGCGTTTATCGGTTGATAAAACTGACTGAATCCGGAATGGCAGGACTCAGTCGACTAATCCCTGAATGTCAATTTGGCAATGCTGTCAGCAGCTGAATATGCGTTAGTAACCTCACTAGCTCGGATTAACGCTCGATGAGAGACAGACAGTCTGTAGCGTTAACTGACTCTTAACTGGCTCAACTCTATGGCCGACTGATGTACTATGGCAAAGTCCCATATTTAAACGATCCAAAGAGGTGCCCATATCAGTTTCCTCACAAAAACACGTTCTAAGGTAACATCTATGTGAGCGGCCAACCTCTCAAATAGACGACGACATTAAAGGAAATTACTGCTTCGCAAATTCTACAGGACGGCCAGGTTGTAGAAAAGTGCAAAGTTACCGTGAGATTTGGCCATTAGTCATTTGGAATTGCCTGTTAAGTCACGGATACCGACCACTTCTATGATTTCGTTGGAGGCAGAAGGTCGCCGGAGCTAACTATAAGAGGACAGGAAATCAGACGTCGACGCATTTAGTCTTCTACCAGACCTGCTACTCGCATATCTGACTTTATGTAACCATCTCCAAAGCAAAATGAACAAAGTTTTAAGCACACTGACTCTGCATAACTGCGTTGACATTTCTTCTTTTTTGACTTGGTGGGATTGGGATGCCAACTTCAATGTACTTTGGTCCTTTGGCTGTAAGGGAACTGTAAATTCTTCTAGCCACACTTGCAGTTCTTAATGTAAACTTTAAAAATCCAAAGTTACTGACGCTTGCACAGGAGACTGAACCAGACTTTGTTTCAATAATTTTGTTCAGCCTATCTGGAACTTTCCATAAGTAGTCCTAACTGTAGTGTCAAATATGCTTGGGGATCATAATTTCTGCAAAATTCCCAGTCACATTTTTGTAAAACTTTCAATTTAAAGAGTGCTCTTGTATAGTTCAGTATCGGCAAAAATACAACGCACATTTCAGTCGCTCAGTGGTCAGGTTGGTCAACTGTGCTCCCATTGCAACGCAAGTGAACAAAGGTTGAAAAATATTTCGGGCAATTTTCTATACACCCTACAGATGCACAGTGAAGAATTCCGTTATGTGGGCATAAACAACAGCGACTATTAAAGGGTCGTTTTCGCTGTTGCTTACGATGATGATGATGATGATGATGATGATGATGATGATGATGATGATGATGATGATGATGATGATGATGATGATGATGATGACGACGACGACGACGACGACGACGACGATTATGATGATGATGATGATGATGATGATGATGATGACGACGACGACGACGACGACGACGACGACGATGATGATGATGATGATGATGATGATGATGATGATGATGATGATGATGATGATGATGATGATGATGATGATGATGATGATGATGATGATGATGATGATGATGATGATGATGATGATGATGATGATGATGATGATGATGATGATGATGATGATGGCGACGACGATGATGGACTGTGTTTGTCATGAAGAATGGATAAATTTCTTGCAGATAGACATGAATAGGACAAAGGGAATCAGGGAACTGTAGCCTTTGATTTAAAATAGCTGGATTGGAAATGTTCGTAATGTAAATGTTTTAGTAACTAGTCGGCTGTAAACATTGCCGTTAACGATAGGATGTAGGATCCAAATTAACGTGACAAGCCTGTGGGCCGTATCATACGTTGAATCGTGGTTGAGGGCGTTTTACGGGTGGGGCAACACACAGGATGGAGGTCAAGAAGACACAGAAAATAGACGCATTTCTGCCGAAAATCTTATCGTACGCTGTCATTTCGCAAAGAAAGTGAGCGTAATAATTAAAAATAAACAAAAAGCATTTTTAAAAAGATAACGGACTTTGGTTAAGGCGCAGCTGGTGAGTTTAGATTTAGTCAGGAAGGGAAAGAACTTTCAACCAATGGGAACGGTGAATAAGTGATCTTTGCAGTCACATTGAATTTTAGGGTATATCTTTGGAGTCGCCATCTGCTTGGGGGTCATACATGCTATAGTTACTACATTGCCTTCCCAAGTTAGTCGGCCCAAATACTTCAGCATTTAGTTAATTGTCTTAAAAGCACGTTCAGACATTTTAAACTTTTGTTGCAGAAACTAAAGTTAAACAAATGTGCCGCGTTA